AAAGTCCAAGAGGGAAACATCATGGGGCTAGCCTGTTCAACACTCTTTTAGTGCACTTCACTGTAAGGATATTCCCCCCAGGCTGGTGGGTGAACCAGTGCCAGCCAGCCCACTCTGTAGCTAGCCTATCCCTAGTTCTATTGCTTGATGATAAGCTCCCACAGCCTCCAAGTGCCCAGACCACGCCTGTCATCAGGTTGTGGCCCTGGCTCTGAGATACCCCCTAACCAACTGAGCCAATGACTTTTCTTATACAAATTGCCATTTACTGTCAGTATCTGTTTGATGACTCTGTCAGAAATCTGAGACTTTTCTTGCCCAAAAGCATAAAAAAGTACTGCTCACATAGTAGTAATATTCTCCAGGGATTAAGGGGTTAGGGTGGGTAAACTCACAACTAAGGGACACGGTGAACATTGTAGAGTGGAAGGGCATGCCTCTAACCCTTGCTGGGGAGAGGCAAAGATATAAAATGTAACCAAAATATTTGTACTCTCATAATTTCCTGAAATAATAAATAAATTAATTAATTAAATTAAAGTAAATTAAATAAATAAATAATTTAAAAAGATAGATAAATAAATAAAGCCAAAAAATTATTTTAAAAAGAAATAAATAGCCACCTGCAGTAATGATTATTCACTATGACTGCTGTCAGTTACCTTTAAAATTGTAGCCTCTTGCCAGTGATTGGCTACCCCACACTAAAGATCAGGTGTTAACACTCTCACAGTATTAAGTAACCCTCAGTACCACCAAAAGCCCAAGCAGGGAGCTCAACATAAAGGGAGCAGAGCTTCAGACCTGAGAGGACCCCACCCACTACTCTTGGGCTCCATGAGGAAGATAAAAGACCCCACAAAGAGGGTCTGTGGTACCTTTTTTGTGTTCCTCAGTGGATCCCTGTGTTGCTAGATGTCTCCCCTATGTCTCTTTATGTGGTAGGAAGAATTCTGATGTTTCCTCTTAGTAACTTTTCATCTACTGACTACCAAATGGAAGTGGTAGGGGCTTGAGGGGAATATATCAGTGATTAAAGAGAAACAGATGGAAGAATAAAGTTGACAAAAGAAAGAAGCGGCAGAAGTAAACATAAGAACAAGTCTTAGAGGAGCCAGTTTGGGAAGATGTTAAGTTTCCCAAATAGGCCAGTGAAGCTTTATATTTCTCAGCAAAAATCAAGTCAACAAGAAAGGAAGTAGAGAGACCAAACAATTAAAAAAGGATTTCACTGGACTGAAAAAGTTCCCATGGGAGAATTAGGATCCACAAGAGAACAAAGAAGGCTTTTTAAAAAAATACAATCTGAATATTAAGCTTTTAATTAGGCTAACTTCTGATCATAGTGGTATTTTTAAATATATATATATATATATATATAGGTTTTTTTTTTTTTCTTCAAATCTCTTATTGTCAGATTACAGCTGGGGCAAATATCTGGTTTATTCCTGGCTGTTTTAAACTAAAGGTACCTACCAAGTGACTCAACCAAAACCAATAAGCCTTTTGTGGCTTCACCAAGGACATATGAGGCATCTCCAGAGAGGTGCAAAGAGGCTGTCTTCTCAGGATCCAGAGCCTCTCCCAGAGGCAGCTAAATGAAAGATTTAGACAATACCTTGAAAGCTGGTGGCAGTCGGTATGTTAGCTTTTTTTTTTTTTTTTTTTTGAGACAGAGTCTCACTCTGTTGCCCAGGCTAGAGTGAGTGCCGTGGTGTGAGCCTAGCTCACAGCAACCTCAAACTCCTGGGCTCAAGCAATCCTGCTGCCTCAGCCTCCCGAGTAGCTGGGACTACAGGCATACACCACCATGCCCGGCTAACTTCTTCTATATATATTAGTTGGCCAATTAATTTCTTTCTATTTATAGTAGAGATGGGGTCTTGCTCCTGCTCAGGCTGGTTTCAAACTCCTGACCTTGAGTGATCCGCCCGCCTCGGCCTCCCAGAGTGCTAGGATTACAGGCATGAGCCACAGCGCCCGGCTGGTATGTTAGCTTTTTATGGGAGACCCCAGTCTTCAGCTGGTCGTCTGCACACACATGTCCAACAACCTGATTGCCAAGCCTAGTTCTCAGGTCACAAAATGCAACAAATCGGAAAATAGTTGTCTGTAGGAGGGAAAAGGATCAATAATAGATGGGTACCCCAAAACCAAGTTTACAGTAGAGTCACAATCCAAATGAATTATTTGCTCCTGTCAACCCGGATTTGGAAAAGAAGGGATAAAGAGAACTTTTACCTCCCCATTCTCAAATAGGCACTATAGACAATGGCCCAGGAGAACTCACCTGGGTAAAAATTCCTACCTTTCTTTGTGGCTTTTTATCAAAAATATGCAGGCTCTGGAGCAAGTCAGGTGCCTGAGCCACCACACCTTTGTCACCAGAACTGTAAATGCAGAAAACAGGTGACCCTTCTCTTCCCATCATTAAAAGTCACAACCAACACTCCACAGCAGGCTAACAAGAGTAAAGCATAACAAATTTATTATGTACACACATGTGCAGAGAGTCATACAAAATATGAAAACTTAAGAAAAAGGCTAGGTGGAGGAACCTTAAATACTCCCTTTACTTGAGAGAGGAAAATGGGAAGTGTAGGACTAAATGTTTTCAAGAGAAATGAATGGACCCAGGAGGCAGAAATTAACCTGTGATTCTCTTTAGAATTTGAATGAGCCTGAGTAGCACACATTTTCTTTCTTTTTTTTTTTTTCTTCCTACCTTCGCCTTCAACAAGCACACATTTTCTTTTTCAAAAAAAAAGTCCATACAGGCATGGCTGCATTTCGTAGTCTTCTTTTCTGAGATAGATATGAAATTTCAGGGAGGGGATGGAAGGCTATTGTGTTCCTTTTTGGGGGTCTTATTTTAGGTAGATAAGGGAACTTCAGAAAATAGCCTTATCCTATGCTTTGGGAGAGACAGAAGATTGAGGGGCCAAGGAAGGAAGGGTCAGAGTCAGAGAAACTTGAGACTGATGCTTTAATTCAGCAAATGTGCCATATTTTGGAGTGTTAGTTTCTGAGCCCCAACAATTCCAAGGATTTTAAAACTTGTATGCCAGAAAACAGAACAAAGACCAAATATATATTTCACCATATCACAGTTGGGCAACCAGTAGGTTTTTACTCCTTGAGACAAGGTACCATATGATTCCAGATAAGTAAAGGTATTCCTTTCCTTTATAAAGTGGGAGAAAGGACTATAGGTAAGGGAGAGTTAGGAATGGAGAGTGTTTTCTTAAGGCAAAGGAAAAAGTATGTTGAAATAAGGGAGAAAAAATAAGTAGGGCTGTATAATCTGATGGGTGGCTTCTGGTCCCTGTCACTTAGGAGTTTGTAATAAGGGGCAAAGGTAAGTCAACTACAATTTATTGGGGACCTTCTGTGTGCCAGGCTAAAGTGCTAGCTTCTTTATGTGCCAACCTGGCACACAGAAGGTCCCCAATAAATCGTAGTTATCACAATCTAATAGGACAGACCAATGTAGAAATAATATGAGAGTAATCCAATCCCAAACAAATATGATCTCTCTCCTGAAGGATTTTGTTGGATTTGTTGGATTTTGTCAACCTAAAGGAAAAAAAAACAAGCTGAAGCAAGCTTAATACCAGTAGAGAGTTTATCTGAGCCAAGTTTGAGGACTGCAACGTGGAAGCATAGATTCAAGTTGCCCTGAATATGTTTTGATTAGCAGCATTTACAAGTGGGAAAAGAAGGAAATGAAGAGGCAGCTCCAAAGTTATTTACCAAGAATTTACATTAATATATAATTAGATATAAAATTATGTATATGAACTACATTAATATATAATTACATATAATTTAATTAACTTAATAATGTACGTTAAATTAATATAATTTAATTGAATGTGTGCTGTTGATTGGCTATACATTGTTCTTTGTATCACAAATGCGGGTAACATTAACGTAATGGGTGAGGCACCTGGTCCAGAACAAAATGCCTTTAACAATCCCCACCCCCTTGGGTACAAGGGTTGGTAGGAAGTGTGTTGAAGTCCCATTCCCAGGTCTCTCTGGGCCTGGTAAAGTTTACATAGCTCAGAGTGCTCTGAGCTATTTTTCTTTTCTCAATTTCATACATTTCTCATATTTATTGGAATTTAAACTTCTGGATTATAGGAACTGTGCTTTATTCATTTTTCTAAAATTTTCATCCCAAAGGACCACTTTTACACCCAATAGGAAAACAGAGAAAGACTTAGGACTGAATCAGCAGTCTTTAGGCTTTTGTGAGAGTTCATATTAGACATTTCATGAAGATCTAAACAAATAATGGGGATGATAAGAATGAGGAAGAAAAGTTCCAGTAGGAACTTTTAAAAGAGTACATGAAATAAGGCCCAAACCACAAAAGCTTAAAAGTCACTAAAAATTCTAATGAATTCTAAGTTCCAAATTGAAGGAAACAGTTTATTAGACTGTCTAAAATGTGTTTTAATTCTGAACTTGATTAACAATAATTCTGAGTCACAATTGGGATGTACAATTTACAGAACAGTTAAAAAACAAGCAAACAAAATGAGTGGATATTTAGGGAAAATTTGTGGGAGTGTTTGGGACATCTGAAATGAGCTCTTTTATTTTTCCTGATTGCTCATTGTGGAGCAATGGGTAACTAGGCAAATAAGCACCAAACATCATTTGGTACAAAAAGAAAAATCTATATTCAATGACTATAAATTTAGAAACTCCAACTTCTTGCCAAGGCTCTCCATGTTATCCAGCATGGAACTCAACTACTATGTCAGTCAAATGGCCATGAGTATCAGGTTCCTTTGCTAAAAATACTCCAGCTCAAATCATCTTGGCAAATAATACCAAAAAGAAATTTCTTCTCTCTGGTAAAGTGGCCAAATTCTAGGAAACTGAATATAAGCAGAAAAGACAAGTATTTAATAATAGTTATATAACCATGGGCAAGGTACTAATTGAGCCTCAGTCTTTGCATCATTAAAATGATATTTTTAACACAGGTCCACAATCTCTACTCTGCAATTACAAAATAAGAAAAAAAAACAAAAACAAAAAACCACTGAAACCCAAAAGTATTTTTAAGTTTGACACCGGGACTATTTAGCAACAAATCCTACTGTGAACAAAACATGAAGCCTCTCTTGCCTGAGCATTTATATCCATCAGTCACAGATGCCTCTGCTATTTGCTGACATTTTATGACTTAGGGATTAATTAATTGCACTAGAAAATGTCAAAAAGAGTTAAAGATATACCTGTGGATAACAGTGAAAAGAAGAAAAGGAAGCATCTGTCTTTATCAATAGCTCAGAAAGTGGAGTTACTGCAGAAGCTTGATGGTGGTGTGTCTGTTAAGTGTCTTACTGAAGAATATGGTGTGGGAACCACCACCATATATGACTTAAAGAAACAGAAAGACAAGTTGTTGAAATTTTACAGTGACAGTGATAACCAAGAACTCATGAAAAATAGGAAAACATTGCATAGGGCCAAAAATGAAGATCTTGACCGTGTATTAATTGAGTGGATTAGGCAACAAAGAAGTAAAGACATGCCACTGACTGGTTTGTTGGTCATGAAACAAGCTAGAATATACCACGAAGAACTGAATATTGAAGGCGAGTGTGAATATTCAGAAGGCTGGCTACAGAAATTTAAAAAACGTCATGGTATCAAGTATCTTAAAATCTGTGGTGAAAAAGCTTCTGCTAATCATGAACTTCCTGAAAATTACATTGATGAATTTGCTAAGATAATATCTGATGAAAATCTTAGCCCTGAACAAATTTACAATGCTGATGAAACAGCTCTGTACTGGTGCTACCTTCCTAGAAAAACCTTAACAATGGGTGATGAAAGAGCAGCAATAGATTTCAAGGATGCCAAGCAAAGGTTAACTATTCTTGGGTGTGCTAATGCTGCAGGCACACACAAGATAAAACTGGCAGTGATTGGAAAAAGCCTATATCCAAGATGTTTAAAAGGTGTGCACAATTTACCTGTGCATTATTATACAAACAAGAAAGCTTCAGTAACAAGAGAAATCTTTTCTGACTGGTTCAATAAGCACTTTGTACCTGCAGCACAAGCTCATTGCAGACAAGCTGGACTGGAAGACAATTGCAAAATTTTATTATTTCTGGACAACAGTTCTGCTCATCCCCCTCCTGAAGTTCTTGTGAAAAGTAATGTTTTAGGCATTTACTTTCCCCCCAGTGTGACATCTGTAATTCAGCCTTGTGACCAAGGAATTCTGCGTTCCATGAAGAGTAAATACAAACACCTTTTTTTGAACAGCATGCTTGCTTCAGTTAACAGAGGCCTGAAAATCCAGGACTTCCTTAAAGAATTTAGTCTTAAGGATGCCATCTACACAGTTGCTAATGCTTGGAACAACGTTGATAAGACAACCTTAACCAATGCTTGGCACAGACTTTGGGCTACAATGATGTTTGAAAATGACCTTGCCGATGAAGATTTTGAAGGATTTAAAGACTCTAATGAGAAAAGGATGGTATCAAAACTCATTACTTATGCCAAAAGCTTATCAGCTGAAAGTGTAAATAAGTTAGAAGAAGCTGACATTGAAGAAATGCTAAACATTGATAATGATGCACCCATTGTGCATTCTTTCAGTGGGAAAATTACAGAGATGGTGTTAAATACAGATCAGTATGGAGATAGTAGTAGTAATGATGATGACATTGTGAGCACAGGTGAAAAAATCTCCATAGATCATATGGTGAAAATGTGTAACCAATTAATTGTTGGCCTTCAACAATGTGCATTTATCAGCGAGCAAGAGCTCATGGCAATTTACTCAATTAGAGAGAAACTGCTTAGACAGAAACCTGCATTAAGGAAACAGATGACATTGGGAAAAGTCTTTAATAAGGCTGTCTGTGATAATGCCTCTTCATCACTTGACAATCCTGCTTCTGGCTGTTCATCAGATGTCCATCTCCAGCTTGGTTTCATAGGCAATGGTAAAACTGGTGTAACCTATTCTCCAGGATTCTCAAGCAACCAGAAGTGATGAACATGTTTTACATATATGTGTGTTATCTGTTAGTTTTCATCAGTATAAATTTAAAATTTTACTTAAAAATTTCTTTAGAAATAAGTTTTTCACAATTGACAAATGAAATTAGAAGCTTATGGTATGTATGGTCTTTATTTATCCTGCTATTTTATTTACTAATAAATTTACTAATTTATGTAAATAAATTATAATATTATTTATGGTCTTTATTCCACTTTGTGTGAATTTTCATACATTTCTTTGCAGAAATACTAATATTAATGTGTTTCATTACAGAGTACAGTCCCATACCTATTTGAAGTGTTAAAAATATATAGTTTATGTACTGTATTCCAAAGAATACCGATTTCTTCCTAAATTCTAAAAAATTCTCACTGCCAAAACATCTGCTCCATAAGGTTTTGGATAAGAGATTATGGGCCTGTAATACTTCTTTGTTGTGTATGATCCAGTGATATGACCATTGTAAAATGCCTGGCACAAAGTAAATGCCTATTAAATGTAGTTGGTATTATTATTATTCCATTGTCCTACTCTTAAAATGTATGACAAGGTCTTTCAGACATTGAAGTTAGCAAGTTAACCTAGCATAGGTAATAATAAGCATGCTTCAAATTATATCACCCTAAGGGATGCTTTGGCACTGTGCTGCTAACATATAGTACAGGATCTCCTAAATCTTCATCCGGGAGATGGGAACATTTCCCAAATCAGAGGATAGAAAATGTTGTTACATCTAATTACATTGCATGTTAATAAAATGCATATACATCTAGTTAGCCCTTATTTTATTTATCAAAGATATATAATTGCTAACTATTCCTTCAGCTCTCTCTGCCACAAGTACCATACAAACAATACTTTAATCTGTCTCATAGAAAAGATTGATTATTAACCCTCTTTGTATAACCTCAGTTACTGGTTTGATTTAGTGTGCTTTACTTTAATAAAATTCAGTATTAGAATTTTTTAAAAAGACCTTGAACATAGCTAAATAAATAAAATTGGTATTCTGTTTTATAAATAAAGCTATAATTGTTAGCCTAATGAATGTGAATTGATTCCCTATAGCCTGGTCTTCTTTGTTTTTTGTCTTTTTGTAATGTTCATTCATTTAAAATATAAGATTTATTGCTTTTCTTTCATTATAAATGGCATACATAGTTTATGGACAATATGATTGATAAAGAAAAAAGTAAAGTTATCCCTAACCTTATAACCAGTAATACTCACTTTTAACTTTCGAAGCTATCTATTGTGTTAAGTTATGAGCCTTATGAGGGCAGAAACCATGTTCATTCAGTCCTATCCCCACCTTGTCCTCACCTTCTCACAATAGCAGGCATATAACACATTTGGAGAAAACATACTTTCTCACACTTAAGTTTCAAACTATACTCACAGGGTTTTTTGGGCCAGATTACTTTTAATTAACACTTCATTGTGAGTATTTTTCCACATCAATCCTATTAGATCTGACAAAGCCATATTTTCTACACTGCATTCAGCCTATCCTTTCCTTCTGGGACTTGCTCCTTCAGGCCCTAGGGTGAACTTTATCTTGCATTCTCTCTTCCTGACTACCTTCCTTCCCTATTGTTCCACTATTCCCCCATCATAATTGCCCCTCTTATTTCCCATTAGCTCATACGCAGCTCTCTGCTAGCTACTCTTAAAAGATATAGTAAACTCTCACTATCATCTGACTGGCGATTGGCTCCCATTCTCCACTCAGCACTGTTCTTTTATTGGGGTGAGCTAAAGTTTCACAGGAGAGGCATGCCTTGGAAGGGAGAGAGAATCCCAACAGGGAGAGAAACAGCAGCAACTCCATCTTGGTAAGTAGGGATGTGGAGGGAGGGTACTATGTCTGCAGTATTATCCATTCCATTCTCATAGGATCAGTCATTAAAACAGGTGCTAACTAATTGGGGGATGCCTGGAGTCACCTGTGTTGCCCTGGAAATCTCAGCCAGGCACTTGATTAATAGTCTGCTCCATTAGTATGTAAGGCAAAGTAAACAACAAGCCACCAGGTGATACTAAACTATGTATCATGAGCCAGACCCTAGGAAGTAGCCATATCTAATTGCATTTTTGGACCTCATTTAGCATGTCAGGCTTTTTTTGTAATTTTGCAGAGTTCTGATGATGGATAATGTTCTCCTTCATCTCTCAAATAATATGCTTTACATTAGCTCTTCATTCCTTTACACAGGGATAAGTGCCATCTACAGTGTGAATTCCAGTTGATTGTTAGTGACTGCGCAAAGTGCAGGTTCGAGAATTTAGATCCATATCCTGGCTCATTCAGTGGGTGGTGATCATTTGTTTATATCTGCCATAGGTACAGAAAGTATTAGTGGAAATGTCAGAATATCTGCCATCCAGCCCTTATGGAGGCCTTACGTTTTTCCTATTTACTTTTGGTTCAGACTTTCTGTTCTTGCTGAATTCGTTTAGTTTATAAGTGAACTCACAACCTCATATTCTGCATCATGTTGCTCTAGACATGGGCAGAGCCCCCTTTGTCTTAACACACACACAAGCCATTTTTATATGTATCAGTCACAATTAAAATGCTGCAGTGATGGAGAGGGTACTTAGGCATAAACTAAACATTTAACTTAGGACATTCCTGTCTTAAAAAGTCCTTCAGTTGAAATGAATCCTGGGGTGTTATATTGGAATCCAGTGTATATCTATGAACTCATTTTTAATACATATACACAGAAATATATATACACATATATATAGAAATATAAATGTGTATACTTACAAGGGTTAGTTTACATGCATATGTATCCATAGGAAAGGACTAAAAGCAATGCAACCCCAATAGTAAGTCATAAGCTCACCTACAACCCAGATTTGATTTTTTTTTTTTTTTTTTTTTTGAGACAGAGTCTCGCTTTGTTGCCCAGGCTAGAGTGAGTGCCATGGCGTCAGCCTAGCTCACAGCAACCTCAAACTCCTGGGCTCAAACAATCCTCCTGCCTCAGCCTCCCGAGTAGCTGGGACTACAGGCACGTGCCACCATGCCCGGCTAATTTTATATATATATATTAGTTGGCCAATTAATTTCTTTCTATTTTTATAGTAGAGACAGGGTCTCGCTCAGGCTGGTTTTGAACTCCTGACCTTGAGCAATCCTCCCGCCTCAGCCTCCCAGAGTGCTAGGATTACAAGTGTGAGCCACCACGCCCGGCCCAGATTTGATTTTTAAGTGCCATCCTCATATGAAAGGAACCAAGGTTCCTTGGAGAAGTGGTTGATCACAGGAAGGGCAAGGAAAGTACAGCATGAGCCTGGAATATCTTACAGTGCCAGAAAGTAAGATGATGCTTTAAAACACACAAAAAATATGGGAATTGTCAATAACACATAAAAATCAACCTAAAGAAGCTCCTAATAGACAAAGCTGCAACAATCTGAGCAGATGTTCAATAAATGAACTGAAGTAAAGTAAATGACCATTTTGGATTATAACTACCTGGTAGAGTAAATACCTGAGACCATATAGTTAAAAATAAATAGGTGGGGCTGGGGTAGTGACACAAGCCTGTAGTCCCAGCTACTCAGAAGGCTGAGGCAACAGAATTGCTTGAGCTCAGGAGTTTGAGATTGCAGTGAGCTATGATGATGCCACTGCACTCTAGCCCAGGTGACAGAGCAAGACCCTGTCTCAAAAAGTAAATAAATAGTTGATTAAATAAATAAGTGAGGGAGAAGGGACAGCTCTTCCTTAGAGTAAAATTCCAATCAATAAACATAAAATTCCAATCATTAATAAGAGAGAGAGGCATTGCACCATTAGGGAAACACCACAGTGGGAATTATAGCAGAAAGGATATACACATGGATACTAAAATTTATGAGTCAAAGTTTGAGGAGAAACAGACTCTGCACAGTCTCAAAGTATCTCCTTCAGTTACTAACAATCCAGAAAAAAATAATAACTTTACCATGGAGGAACTGAGTAGAAGCCTTCTTAACCAAGTGATAGGTCAACATCACTGGTAATAAAACATCATGAATCCCATTATATGGTCCACTGAGGATACACTTTCATTTCTGTGGTAATTCTTGCCAAAAATGCATAACGTCAGTCCAATACTCTTCGAAAGTATCAAGGTCATGAAAAAGCAGGAAAGATTGAGGAACTGTTATGGACTTCAGGAGACTAAATAAATATGATGTGGGATCCTACTCAGGATTCTGGAACAGAAAAAGGACATTAATGAAAAAATTGATGAAATTCAAATAAGATTGTTAGTATAAGAACAATCAAATAATAAATAAGATTGTTAGTATAATAAATCAACAATGTTGATTTCCTGGTACTGAGTTCTTGTAAGTTGGCATGATTTTCAAATGTCTATAAATCTATGGTATATACATATATACACATATTTTAGGTTAGTTTTAGGGTTTAGATCAGGAGAAGAAGAAGACTGGTTGAATATGTGTTTTTTTTATATTGCCAGTATTTCTATAGAAATTTTCAAACATTTTTAACAGACATGACTTTCAAAAAAAAATGTTATATAGAGGATCAATGTATTAAACAGGTAAGAGCAAAGCTAATCCGGTTGAAGCAGAGGAGGCAGCCCTGAAGGTGAACTGTTGGTCTCCACTCTGTTCTCTACTGCAGTTCATAAGACCCTCCTTGTAATCCTAGAACTGCAAAACAGTTTTAAAACCATTGACATGATTTACAGTCCATTAGTGGCCCATAAATTCTTATGCAATGATAGTTGTTATTATTACTATTAATATTATAACATTGCTCCTCACCCTTCCCTGTCCCAAGACCTGCCATAGGTCCTAACATCAGCTTCTGCCATTTGTTCTGGCAGTCCCATCGTGGAGAGAGAGTGGTTAAAATAAAAAATTAACGCAGGTCTGAAGATAGTGAGTTATGTCAATTGATTGTTCACAGTCAGTTACAGATCTAACTCCTTGTTCTACTCTCCCCTCTTCTCACTGCTGCACTTGACTAGGCTTAAAACAATTTTTAAAAGAATAAACAACTAAGCACCCACTAAATATGCCTAAGCACCAACCCAGACACTTTAATATCACCTCGCTTAATCCTCACAATGATACTATGAGGCAAGTGTTTTGATCTTCAGGACATGATGAAGAAATAGAGATTCAGACAGGCATAGCAGGAATGTGCACAAATGCAAATGTGCAAGAAACGTCTAGTTATTTTATTTTCTTAAATTTAATTAGAACCAACTCCTAACATGATTCCACTGGAATGGCAAGAAACTGCATTTTAGCCAATCCAGGGCTTTCCTCACAAGACATCACTCAAGGTTCTGGGATCTTGCCCAGTGTGCCGGAGTATGGGGAGGACCTTCCCAGTCATCTCTGTTCCATCTGCATGAATATCTGCTAGATGTCTAGGAAAACTTAGTCTAGATTGGGCTGCTCCATGGCTTCTGTGTGACTTGCAAATGCCAAGGATCTTTCAGAGGTTGGGGTCCCCTAGAATTCATTATCTCAAGGTGCACCTCACCACACAGCCCTCTTTTCTGGGCACTAAATTTCTCTGGCCACTGCACCACCAAGGGTTCTCAAGATCTTAGGAAACCTCTCATCCCCAGAAACCCCCTTTTTAGTGACAGAGATATTTGTTTTTTGCTCCTTATTGCCCTCAAAGTGTCTCTTCTCAGAACACACTGCAGAATCTAACAGAGTTTGAACTTTCATAAAGTAAAAGCAGTTCTATGATAATTTCTGTTTTCCTTGTTCATAAAACCCTGAGGGAAGAAAATACCAAGAGCATCCTTCTTAGAAAGAGGGTGGTGAGCACAGGATATGGAAAATATAATTTTTTTTTTTTTTTTGAGACAGAGTCTCACTCTGTTGCCCTGAGTAGAGTGCCATGGCATCAGCCTAGCTCACAGCAACCTCAAACTCCTGGGCTCAAGTGATCTTCCTGCCTCAGCCTCCCCAGTAGCTGGGACTACAGGTGCACACCATGATACCCAGCTAATTTTTCTATTTTTAGTAGAGGCGGAGTCACACTCTTGCTCAGGCTGGTCTCCAACTCCTGTCCTGAAGCGATCCTCCCACCTTGGCCTCCCAGAGTGCTAGGATTTCAGGTGTGAGCCACTGTGCTCAGCCAAAAATATGAAATATTATTTAAAAAATTTATCTGCAACAAAAATTAAGTAATACAAAGTCTCTACAGTAGTAATAGGCAGAGCTAAGATTCAAAAACACTTTTCCAGCTATACACACCACCTAAATAGAAAAGTCCTGTGAAATTGAGTTCCATTTGTTGCAGGGCAGGTGCTCCTGGGCAGGGGAGAGCAGCAGCTGCAGATTCTAGCTGAGAGCTGCGCTGTGACCACTCTGGTTGAGATCACTAGTGGGCAAGATCCAGGAACTTGAGTCTTATCAGGGTTTGCAATCCAAAGCCAGAACTATTTCACCTACAGCAGGACATTCCATCATCTTACACTGGACTAATGCAGTGTGCCCCAAGGACAGAATCTAAGTTATTCTAATCTCAGAAATTTCCACATGGTTTATGTTTATTTAAAGCTGTGGTTGCCAGAATAGAATATCAGGACTTTTTAAATGGAACAAACCCAGGCACCTTCTCAAATTGTAATATGTGCACTATGTAAGGGAGAGAGAAAATGAAATGACTTTTTCACATAGATGTGGTTTCAGGAGATTTTTGAATTTCAGTTGAGCCTCGAACAACGTGGGGGTTGGAGCACTGACCCCCTGCACAGTCAAAAATCCACATATAATATTTTGACTCACCAAAAACTTAACTACCGATAGCCTACTATTAACTGGAAGCCTTACCAATAACATAAACAACACATTTTTTATGTTATATGCATACTGTATTCTTATCATAAACTAGAGAAAAGAATATATTAAGAAGATCACAAGGAAGAGAAAATATATTTACTATTCACTAAGTGGAAGTGGGTCACCACATTGAATAGGCTGAAGATGAGGAGGAAAAGGAGGGGTTGATCTTGTCTCAGGGTGGCAGAGGTGGAGAAAATTTTATATGTAAGTGGACCCTCGAAGTTCAAGCCCATGTTCCAGGGCCAAGTGTATATCCCTTTGAGCAATTATTATTTCCAGGTAGAAGACTTTTATTAATATTTTAATCCTGTTTCAAACAACCAAGAACTTCATTTTGTTCTAAATTAACATACTTTTTTAATACTAATATGAATTTGTCACTCAAATAAAATTTTGAATAGCTAAGGAGTTAAATCACTGAGAAAACTGAGCCACTTAATTTTAAGTCTATATTTTTACGTTTACAGTAGTATTTTTATATTGACCTTAACTGTTAAAAACACATTAAAAATAAAGCAGGATGTGAGAGGCTGTGTGAGTCTTCTAAACAGCCAAAATAGAGGTTATAAAGTTTAGATTTTCATAAGTGAGACCTTTGGATCAATAGTATTTTGTTTACCCCATCTCATTTTTCTCTTAGTAAACATTTTACACATATCATATGAAGAAAAAAATTTTAAAAAGATTGAAAGTAGGAAGAACTCTCCTGAAGATCCATCACCCAATGACTACCACTGTTAACATTTTGATGTATTTAATCTGTTTCTTTTGGAGTGCTTTCTTATATCTGTGTTTGAAATTTCCACTATTGTTACTGTTACTGTTTCTTTTATAGCTGTGATCAAAACAGTGTTTATGTTGCATTCTTTTTTCCAACTTATTATTACAAAATAAGTATTTCTCCCATTTGAAAAACAGACTTTTCATAATTATTTTTAATGGTTAATAATCTCTCAAATGGCTGCATTATTCACTTATCTAGTTCGTGTGATTGGCCACAGGAGGGATTGTCTTCCA